TGCAATGGGTTCCAGGCTCGCCCTCATCCCATGTGCCCCGTGTCGACACACACGGTCCTCACAGAGGGCCAGGATGCCTGCACCTCTGGCACCTCCACCCTCACACATTCGCCAGCGACACCTCCTGTCTCCCTGGGGCCCTCGGGGGTAGCAGCACCCACATCTCAACCAAAGAATGGGAGGCGGGTTGGGCAGGACAGCGCTCACTCTGCCTTCAACACACACAATTTGGTCCTCACGTTACTGGAGACTAAAAAGGGCTTGAAAACATCACCCATAGGGGGTGCTGGGACCAACCTGGTGCCTGGTCCCCAGGCAACCACCCTAGTGGCGTCCACCCCGTGTCTCTGCATAGGCCCCCTTTCCAGCCCTGCTCAGTGAAATCTGGGACATGTCCTCCACCCCCAAGGTCAGAGGTCATGGCCACAGAGCGGCCTTCAGAGGAGGGCCGGGCAGCCGGGGGGCCTGGGCCGGGTGTCCAGACCAGCAGCCTGGCTCCATGCTGCGCATTTGCCTCTTTAATCATTAGCCTGGAAAGTGTCAGCAGCTGCTGGACTCTGTGCATCCTCCCCAGCATAAAATATTCACCAAGAGAAACCCCAAACAGCAACGCTGCCTTCCGTGTCAGCCGGGCCCTGGGGACGGAAGCTAAAAATAGACAGGAGGTAGAAGACTTGCTGACAATGGGGGAGGGGGGCGGGGCGGAGGGCTGAGCCCCCCACAGGCACAGGCGGGCTGGCTGCAAGGAGCTCCTGTGCGCTTGGGGAGGCAGACGGTGTCACACTGCGGTCCTCAAGGGAGTGCACACACAGGCTGAGTTGAAAACCCCTCTCTGGGAGCTGCCCACCCTCCCTGCCAGAGCCTGGGCCCCAGGACACCTCTGTGAAGAATCAAAGACCATCTTTAATTAGCAAGATAACAGGCTGGATCAACGTGAGGCCAGCAGCAGGAAGACACGGCCATTACTAACTACTGGCCCCTCAAACCTAGGGATTCGGCCATTGTCCCCTTCGTTCAAGCAGGGGTCTTTCCCTGCCTGCTGGGCACTAGCATCCCTTCCTCTGGGCTGGCCCTCCACCTGTGACTGACACCCCCGAACCACGTCACGGGTTTCTAGAAAGGGCACGGCAGCTTCCCGGGTACATAGACTAGCCCAGACCCAGGACTGCTTTCCGCCTCTGTGAGGGTCATGGGTACCCCTACAAAGGGCTCCTGGACCACAGGCACTGTCCATGGGAGCCTGGACCCCTCCTGGCTACAGCACTGGTCTCCCCAGCAGGCTGAGTTCGGGGGTGCACACAGGGCAGGCGGGGGCAGCGCACAGCAGCTGCTGTGCTCTTGGGCAGGCGAGCGTTACAACTCAGCCATGGCTGTAGCCCTTCGGACCTGGCCAGAAATCCCTGTCAATTCACATCTACTCAGAATGAGCCTTTGCAAAATGAAGATGGTCTGACTCCTCGGCTGTGCTTACTCTCATATCCATTTGGGGAGCCCTGCAGGCCGCTGTACCCCCTCAGCTGACAGCAGAGGAAAGGCCCCACGTGGTCAGAAGGCTGGGTCCCGGGGCTGGGCCTGGCCGGGATCAGCTGGGTGGCCTCGGGTGTGTTCCTGCCCCCTCCTCTGCCTTTACGGGCGGTCGGCTCCAGCCCGCAGACCTCCAAGTCCCTGGTTCCTTTTACCCAGATAGTTTCTGGGAAATGGCTCCCCTGCCCCCAACACCAGGCCCTGCTTGAACGCAGCCCTGTCCATGAGGCCCTCCGTGGAAGGAACCTCCTTAAGTAGCAACAACTCTCCCAGGGAATGCCGACCCCCACCTCCTGCTTCTTCCCCGTGACCCTCACCAGCATCTCACGGTCCGGTGTCCCTGCTTGCTTACTGGCTCCCTCCAGGAGGGCGTCAGCTCCAGTGGGACGGGTCTGGAAAGCACAGCCAACAGCAGCAGACGAGTGTGGCACTCCCAGACACATAAGCTAGCTCACAGAACCCTCACCCACCCTCTGTGGCATGCACTAGGGCCGTCCCCCTGGTACAGATGAGGAAACAGAGGCGCATCCAAGAAGAGCAAGCCTGGGACCACACAACCAGTACACCCTGACCAGAACCCAGGCAGCAGGATGCCCACGCCCACGTGTGCCCCCACAGTACGTGCGTGTCTGCAACAGTGAGTGGGGAATCCCTGGGGCGTTCAGGGACCTGCAGTTGCCAACTGTCCACCAGCAGGGCACTGACCAGCGCAGTAGAGGAATGCAGCTGGAGAGGCGAGCAAGCCCGTGAGCCCACCCACGGGTATTTTCCTGAGTCCCACTCTGTGCCGGGCATCCTGGAATCACACATTGGTCTGGATGCACCAGAGGATCTGAGATGGTGCCGGATGCCGGGAGATGGTGTGGGAACAGGAGAGAGTCGCTGGGCAGTGGTGGGGGTCAGGCTTTATCTCGAGTGTGGAGGGAAGGCGATCTAAGGATGAGCTATCTGAGAAACAGTGGAAGGAGCTGGCTCTGCAACAGTCTGAGGGAAGATTTCCAGGCAGAGGGACAGTGTGTGCAAAGGCCCTGAGGCAGGAATGAGTCTGGGGGCTGAAGCCAGAGAAGCCAGCTTTGCTGGACCCTGTGCTGAGGGCACCAAGGCTAGAGAGCAGATTAGGTGGGAGAGGGAGAAAATCTGATTTTAACAAACTCCCTCCGCTCCAGTGTGGGGTCAGGTGGAGGGCAGCAAGCCTGGAGGAGGCAGTACAGCTTGGGGCTGAGCAGGGATCCAGCCAGCGATGGGGCCTAGAGACCATGGGTGTGGGGGGCTGAGCAGCAGAGAGGAGAGGAGCCAGGCACGTTCCCAGGCTCACTGAGAGAGGGAACCCGTGAGGACCAGTGGGATTTTTTGGGGAAAGGTGACGAGCTCAATTCAGGATACATCACATTTGAGATGCGTGCGGGTCCCTATGGGAGACCGGCAGAGCTGGCACAGCCAATCGGGGACTGAACAGTGAGCACAGAACAGTGCTCGTGGCTCGAGGCCTGGACCCAGCCACTCAAGGGGGAGTGAAGGGCATGGTGGGCACCCGTCAGGGCCTGGTGTTTTGGGGGATCATGGATTGACTGTCTGGACACTGCGGTTCTGTGTCAAGGGAGCACAGGTTCCCCCGAGGCCTGGCGCATCATGCCAGGCCGGCGAGATAGAGACGCAGAGTGTCCTTGCATCTGGCCGCGCTGCTGGAGCCCGGAGGCTAAGGAGAACAGAGAGCAAATATTTGCCTGTGTGAGGCGGAATCCGGCATTCGGGATGGGGCACCGTGACAACATGGGAGAAGACGGGACAGGGGGTTCAGGAGAAAGGCGGGGAAAGCCTGTGCTTGAGGGCCAAGAGGAGCAGGCAAGGTTCTGGGGAAAAGTGGCCCAAGACCCCGAGATACGTGGCTGCTAAGGTCAAGGCCAGAGGCGGTCAGGGGGAACACACAATCATCAGCCAAGGGGACAGGGTGGGCATGGGAGCCATCCCCCCGGGGCCACAGGTCAGGGCAAGAGGCAGCGTGTGGGACGCACACCCCTAGTCCTCACGCCCGGGTGAGGCGGGTCTCAGGGAGGCTCGTTGGGCTGATGGCAAGAGGGCTGTGTGGGGCTCCCTGCCTGTAGAGGGGGCGGGTGGGGGCAGAGCTCCGACAGAGAGAGCCCGCGGGGCCGGAGGGAGCGGCACGTGGGAGCCTAGTTCCCGGCCTGCGTGAGAAGCGGGTCTCCACTGTGGCGTGTCTGTCGTAAAGGTTTTCAGCGCCCACTCTCCTCCTGCAGGAGGCACAGGATCTGCCTGGGGAGCAGCCGCCGTGGGAGCGGCAGGGGGCCGCATAGTGCCAGGAGCTCTAGAGAACCCCCGCCCCCGCCCAGGCCACTGTGCCCCCCACCCTCACCCCGCCGGGGGCGGGGAGCTCCCCCTGCGGCCACACGAGAGCGACCTCCAGCGGCAGACGTGCAGGCCGGCTCAAGGGGCATCAGGAGCAGCCTGAGCAGCTGCAAGTCGTGTGCTGGACCCAAATGCAGGCTCCCCGGGATGGGATGTACGACCCTCCACAAGCGCCTCAGCCTTGTTGGCCCGATGGGTCCTCGTCTGGTGACAGGGGGGCCAGCAGCGGGGGCCCCGCTCCCCAGGGCTGGGGTGGTGCTGGCTGCGGGGAGCCGCAGAGGCCTTGCTGGCCGGTGCCTGGACAAGGTCCAGGCGGGACTGTGACCGGCACTGGTAAGGGATGCGTGAGGCTTACGGTAAAACCATCCCCTTGGCCTCAAGGGAGATCTGGAAGCAGCGTGCATGTGTTCACTCATTCATTCACTCATTCATTCATTCCACAGTTCCTGAGTACCTCCCAGTCAAGCATCCTCACCACCCACCCACCGCCTTCCCCATTCCCCACTTTGAACGTCGGCCACCTCTGGCTCCCTGACTCTCCCTGCGTCCAGCACTTGTCAAATTGCTGGGATTCCTGCTCCGGGACCCTTCAACACTGCGGTGGCAGCATCTCACGTGGGAGGCTGTGTGGCCAGACACCTGCCATCTCTCTCTGCATACCCAGGGCAGAGCCCGGCCAGGCAGCCGAGGCAGGGAAGGACCATGAGTCCCTGATGCCCAGCTCCATGCTATCGGGGTCTGGCTCAGTCCCCATCAAGCAGGACACTCCGGCCAAGGCTCCTTGAGAACCCATCCCTTGGGAGGGGCCTCAGCCCCATTGTAGCTTTTATACATAGCTCTGGGAGCCCCTGCGCACTGTACTCACCCTCGAGAGAGAACCCCCAGAGCCAAGGAGCTCGTGAAGAGGTCTCTCTCGTCCTGTCTGCCCGGTCTGACCTCACAGTCCACAGGGGAAGGCCCTCGCGTTTGAGGGCCAGTGCAGCCCAGGTCACTGGGCCGCGGGGCCGCCAGGCCAGGGCCCGGCCCCCCAGAAGGGGCTCACAGGACTCCAGTCTCTCCTGGGAGCCACTGAGTGCTGGCAGGGCCAGCCAGCAGGGCGGGGAGTCACTCACCACGAGCTGGGGCACGGGCAGCGACTTGCCCTCCTGGCTCAGGGACACGTAGGTGAAGAAGGCACTGGCAGCCCGGTAGCGCTTCTGCGAGTTGTCCACCACGGGGTCGGCGTCCACCAAGACCTCGATCTCCATGGACTTATTGCTCGTGAAGGTCATGCGTCCAGAGATGGTAATGACGCAGCCTGCGGGGCACGGACAGCGGGTTAGCGGAGGACACTGGCGGAGGGGCGGGGAGGGGCGGGAGGGCACAGGCAGCAGGTCACCGAGGGCGTTAGGAGACACCTGGTTAGGCAGCGTCTAACAACTACGAGGACATGGAAATGACGAATTCTCACTGTGCCTCGTTAGTAGCCCTGAATGCTCACCTGCCTCGGGAGCAGGTGTTTGCTTTTAGTGTTTACACGGACATTTGGAGTGGTGGCCGTCACCTGGCCCCCTGCCCCCTGGGAGGGGCGGCCCCCAACCTGCTTTCAGGCAGCTGGGGGGTGAGCTGGCTCTGTCCCTCTGAAGTCACATTAAGGCCACGTAGCCACACTGTCCACACTGTGACCTCACTGTGCCACACGGCTGCCCCGCCATGTTGCTCTAAGCCACCTTCCCGGTACCTTCCCAGCTCCCTGGCTATTGTTCCTGATGCTGGTCTGACGGCAGCCTTGGGCGCTTGGCAGGGCCAGTGGTCATGTTGACTCTGGTCCTGCGTTCCCCCAGAGCCACTGTGTGTACTTCAGCCCATGTCCTCCTGCCCTTCTGTCCTGTCAAAACCGCGTCTGTGCCATCAGGCTCTCCCTCTCTCCGGCAGGCTTGCTCACAGGACCAGAGCTCTCCTCAGAGCTGCAGACTCTGCCCCACAACATAGCTGAGACCCTGAACCTGGTCCGAGTCCCCAGGTGCTCACCACCTGCCTGGGCTGGCATGGCTTCCCTTGTTGATTATGATGCAGTCCAGAGTCCTACGTTCCCATAACACCACCCCGGGTGTCCCTCTCCCTCTCAACCTCAACCCAACCTCCCTGTGCTCCCCGTGCCCTTTGGGTCATGACTCTCCACCCTGGCAGCGGCTTCCCAACCTAGAGTGGTTCTCCTCCCGCCCGCCCCCCATTCACGGGCTCTTGCCTGCCATCCAGCCTTGGCCCTTTCGCACCTTGCTCCCTTCATCTCACAGAGCCCAGTCTTCTCCTATAAACAGACTTGACTTGCCCCCCCGGGTAACTATGGGGAAGACACGAAATGAGCCAGGTGCTAACCTGGTGCCCAGTGGCAGAAGGCACTCAGCACCGTCATTATCATGGCTGACGGTGTGGCTCTGGACCACGAGGCAGCACTAATCCTCAGGGGCTTCCGGGGGGAGGGCCTGACACCCGGCGGCACCCCCACCAACGTGTAGCCAGAACGGCCCCCCGCCCCCACTCCCAGCATGGCCTCGTTCTGGGATGGGTTCAAGGAAATTCCTGCCCAAGTCTAGCACATGATGCTGAGACCGGCTCCCTGGAACCAGTGCTGGCCGTGGGAACCTCTTAACAACCCTGGGAGCCCCGGTGTCCGAGCTCCGAGGAGACAGGCACCACGAGACACGTTCAAAGACCCAGGAGGACAGACAAGTCAAGACAGCATGGTGACTGTTAGGGGTGAGCGTGTGGGCAGGCCAGAAGCAGGGGTAGTTATTCCATGTTACAGAGTACCAGAATGTTCCAAGCCACATTCAATTTCATACTTACAGGGAGGGCTTCATGTCTCGTACAGCCATTTCCAGCAGGGAAGGAAGGCCACGCGGTCAGTGACAGGGCCATTATGGGAGCTCTATGAGGGCAGAGTCACGAACAAAGCACCCAACACACACCTGTGGCTGGGCTGAGACCAGAGTGCGAGCACGTCGGGGCCCAGGGTCGGTGGGCAATTTCTGCTGCCCCGTTAGGAGCTGCCTCTGTGACCCACAGGGGCACGCCACTCACAGGCTCACCAGGCCCTGGCCGAGTTACAGGCGGCTCGGCACCTGGAGCAGGATGGGGGAGGTGCAAAAGCATCTCCCTGTGTCCTTCCCACGACCATGTCCTCTCTACCCCCAGAGAACCTGTGACTGCCACGGGGGCTCTCCTGAGAGGAATATAACACGCCAATTCTGCTTCTGGTTTCGGGGGGTCAGGACACCCCTGCCAGAGTGCTCCCCAGTGGCCCCCAAGTCGAAGGCTCTGTTTTGGATGACCCCCGCAGGTGCACCTGTGTTTGGAAGCATGGGCAAACCCCCATCTGAGTGTGCCTGGCATGAAGGCGGCTCCAGGCATGGCTGCACTCATGACCACACCCAGCCAGGGTCTGCGGGACTTTTAATAAGAGAACACACAGCATCCAGGCTCGACCTGCTCACCTCCAGAGACAGCCACTCCTATCTCATGAGGCCAGAGGTCAGTGGGGGCAGGTGCTCATTGCAGCCATCATGCACAGGGCTCTGGTGGACAGAACCTGCTCCAAGGCTCAGCCCGGCCTGGCTCCCTCTTCCTGCCGCTTCCATGAGGCTGGAACAGTGCTTTCTCATGGGATAGGAGCCGGAACCAGGGGCCTACAGGCCCCTTCATCACCCAGAAGGGGAGCAAGGCTGTCAACGTGGTTCACCAGGGAGCATGGGGCTAGGACACAAGGCCAGCGGCAGGATGCTCAGAGATCTCATGGAGATGGGGGGTCAGGCTCCTTCCCACGAGGTCTGGCTCATTCCATCCTAGGTACAGGGGCAGGACCACAGGAGGGGCGTGCCAGGCCTACCCCAACCCCTGCCTGGGACACTGGGACACCACCTGAGACAGGGAAGGACCGCAGCGGCTGGCTTGTGTTGGCGTGCACTTCCGTTTGCCCAAGGAACTGCAGACTGGGGAGCGGGACCTGCCAGGCACAGCAGCCACGTGCTCAGAGGCTCTCTGTGGGGCACAGCGGAGGCAGAGTGGTCCAGAGCACTGAGACACTGCCTGGGAGCTTTTCCACTAGGTCACATGTCCAAATCCACCTGGAGAATGGCTTGTTTATTTAAAAGACCAGGCGCGACCAGCTCAAGGGGGAAATTGCCCCCTGTCATCGGTGCTAGGAGCCACGAGCCCACCAAGACAGGCTCAGGTTGTCAGGCCACTCTCCCGGCCCAGGGGATGGAGGCCGGGAGGGCGCCCCAAGTTCTCCTCTGAGCTGCTGAAGTGGGAACAGACAGCCATTCCCCGCCAAGTGTCTCCATGAAAGGCAGGCTCTCTGAGGCCCGGAGTGGCCCCGGATGGCCCACGGTGCCCTGCGGAGGACCTCGGGTTCCACAGGCTCTGGGGTGCACTGGGCAGGCGGCCACCCACACCGTGCCTTGGCTTCCTCATTTGCTAACAGGCACAGGAGTAGCTGTCTCTCGGGGAGATTGTGACAAACCAGTGAGCCTGCAAATGTGGCCACGTGGAGATCACTTGCCCACATTAATTATGTCACATGGACGTTTAGCCCAGGACAGAAATTTCTGGTAGGGTCTGAGTGCCCTTCTGCTTAACAGCCCTCCAGGAAAAGCCACCTTAAGCCCAAAGGTGGAGTGTGCCCACACAACGCTCTTAGGGTCTTTGGGTGGAGAATTACAAATAAGAAGTAATGTTTAAAACAAATCACATTTTTCTTCTATAGCGGGCACATATACGTTGGCCAAGAGGCTGCTTCTAACACTGTCTAAATGACTCAAACAGGCTATTGCGTTAGCAAGGGAGATTTTACGTTTTCAGCTTGTGAAGAACACAGGGTAGCAAAGCATTAAAAACCCTGCCCTTTCTCTCCGGGTCCCAGGAGATGAGCAACTATGCCTGATCAGATGCCGAGACGTGACCACAGCGGCGGTGGTCCCTGCACAGGAAGGCCAGGGCTGCAGCCCAGCTCGCCCAGTACGTCAGCATGGTCTGAGAGGCCAGGACTCAGGACCCCAGGACATACGGTACGCTCTAGACCCGAGTTCCGGTGCCAACTCTCTGTAAGAGGCCAAGACTCGCCAGGAAGCTCACCACCCCTGCTGCCTCTCTGCGAATCCCCCAGGCCTCAGAGGTGCCGGATATCAGCAGCTGAGGGGTTTGGGACAGACTGAGGGGCACTTCCTCTCCTGCCTCCCTGAAGCCCCCCAGGGCTGAGCTCCTTCTTGCTCTCCCGTGCGCTCTGCCAGGGTCCTGTCTACAGAGCTTATAGGAGAAAACGTAGGGCGGGGAAAAGGCTCGGAAACAGTCTGGAGCCCTACCTGCCTCTGTGTCAAATGGAATTAACGAACTCTACTAGGGCAGAAGGAGCAATGGCCCCCAAAGCTGTCCATGTCCTAATCCCCTGAACTTGTGAATTATGTGGCCTTGTGTAGCAAAGGGGCTTTACAGATGTGGTTAAGAGCCTGGAGATGGGGCGACCGGCCTGGATTATCCAGGTGGGCCCAGTCTCATCATAAGGGTCCTCCCAAGTGGATGAGGAGGCCGGAGCAGAGGGTCCGAGAGATGCCACCCTGCTGACTTCAGAGATGGAGGAGGGGCCACAAGCCAAGGAAGGCAGACGGCTTCTAGAAGGTAGAATAGGCAAGCAGCAGATTCTTTCCTAGAGTCTCCACAAGGAACAGCACCCTGACTTTAGCGCCGTGAGACCCATTCAGGCTTCTGACCTCTAGAACTGAGACAGCAAATCTGTGTCGTTTCAGCCACTATGTTTTTGGCATATTGTTACGGCAGCCATAGAAAATTAATACGACTACGTAGGTAGATGCTGCACTGGGTGACTTTAACATAGTCCAGTTTTTCGGGGCTGCTGCTGACGCTACGTCATAAGTAACTCTAAAATCAGGAGCACGAGATACTTCATAAAGCTCAGAGAATACTACCTTTATGTGGTTTTATCATACATTTCTACCACTTTATGTGATATTTCCACGTTTCAAGCAGGGATTCTATGACAATACAAGGAATCTAGAAATTTGATGAAGCTCCAAGTAAGAACGAATCCCAAAGGCAACTGGGCCAGGATCCCGGAAGCCACACAGTCGCAGACCTGGTGGGTTTCCAGTGGGAAGGATGGTCGGTGGCCACATGTGGAAATCGGTTCACGGTTCCATCAAGGGCTCAAGAAGTCAAAACTTGTAGTTGTCTTGACACAAGGTATCCAACCGAAATGAGAGGACACAATCGTCTGGTATTTTGTAAGTTCTGTCTCCTATC